AAGCTTTGGTGGCTTTGTTTAGTAAGCCAAGGAAGGAAAGAAACTGACGTCGGGGAATAAGGGGAACCCAATAAACAATTCAGAATGACTAGGAATCCCTAGGCATAAATTACAGTGGAAGAAGGATCAGGTAACGTAGTTGCTGAAAAGAGTTTTGAAAGAGAGAAGAGAAATACAGTGTGCTTCATCTGTGGTGTTCTGTATATAGCCACCCAAAATCACCTTACAGTGGGGCAAAAAAGTATTTAGTCAGCCACCAATTGTGCAACTTCTCCCACTTAAAAAGATGAGAGAGGCCTGTAATTGTCATTATAGGTAGACTTCAACTATGAGAGACAAAATGAGAAAACAAATCCAGACAATCGTCACATTGTCTGATTTGGAAAGAATTTATTTGCAAATTATGGTGGAAAACAAATATTTGGTCAATATCAAAAGTTCATCTCAATACTTTGTTATATATCCTTCGTTGGCAATGACAGAGGTGAAATGTTTTCTGTAAGTCTTCACAAGGTTGGCACACACTGTTGCTGGTATGTTGGCCCATTCCTCCATGCAGATCTCCTCTACAGCAGTGATGTTTTGTGGCTGTCGCTGGGCAACACGGACTTTCAACTCCCTCCAAAGGTTTTCTATGGGGTTGAGATCTGGAGACTGGCTAGGCCACTCCAGGACCTTGAAATGCTTCTTATGAAGCCACTCCTTCATTGCCTGGGCAGTGTGTTTGGGATCATTGTCATGCTGAAAGACCCAGCCACGTTTCATCTTCAATGCCCCTGCTGATGGAAGGAGGTTTGCACTCAAAATCTCATGATACATGGCCCCATTCATTCTTCCCTGTACACGGATCAGTCGTCCTGGTCCCTTTCCAGAGAAACAGCCCCAAAGCATGATGTTGCCACCCCCATGCTTCACAGTAGGTATGGTGTTCTTTGGATGCAACTCGCATTCTCTCTCCTCCAAACACAACAAGTTGTGTTTCTACCAAACAGTTCTACTTTGGTTTCATCTTACCATAGAGCATTCTCCCAATCCTCTTCTGGATCATCCAAATGCTCTCTAGTAAACTTCAGACGGGCCCGGACATGTACTGGCTTAAGCAGGGGGACACGTCTGGCACTGCAGGATCTGAGTCCCTGGCGGCATAGTGTGTTACTGATGGTTGCCTTTGTTATGTTGGTCCCAGCTCTCTGCAGGTCATTTACTAGGTCCCCCCGTGTGGTTCTGGGATTTTTGCTCACTGTTCTTGTGATCATGTTGACCCCACGGGGTGAGATCTTGCGTGGAGCCCCAGATCGAGGGAGATTATCAGTGGTCTTGTATGTCTTCCATTTTCTAATTATTGCTCCCACAGTTGATTTTTTCACACTAAGCTGCTTGCCTATTGCAGATTCAGTCTTCCCAGCTTGGTGCAGGTCTACAATTTTGTTTCTAGTGTCCTTCGACAGCTCTTTGGTCTTCACCATAGTGGAGTTTGGAGTGTTTGAGGTTGTGGACAAGTGTGTTTTATACTGATAACAAGTTCAAACAGGTGCCATTAATACAGGTAATGAGTGGAGGACAGAGGAGCCTCTTAAAGAAGAAGTTACAGGTGTGTGAGAGCCAGAAATCTTGCTTGTTTATAGGTGACCAAATACTTATTTTCCACCATAATTTGCAAATAAATTCTTTCCAAATCAGACAATGTGATTGTCTGGATTTGTTTTCTCATTTTGTCTCTCATAGTTGAGGTCTACCTATGATGACAATTACAGGCCTCTCATCTTTTTAAGTGGGAGAACTTGCACAATTGGTGGCTGACTAAATACTTTTTTGCCCCACTGTATTGTTGAGAGAAGCGATATATAAATTTAATAAATAATTGCTTCAGATTTTTATGAGAGCTAAATGTATAAGTTTTAAATCATATTATAAAATATAAAATTTGCATTTCATTTCTCCCCTGCCCAAGTTATGGTACCAGCCACTTTAAACTGTAAACCTTTGTAATGTTATTTATATATTAATAGAACATACATGGTTGCTCCTCAAATTTAATGATCACAGACAGTAAAAACAGACATCCTTTGCATCATGCTCCAGACCAGGGGTAGGCAACCCAAAACACTGAAAGAGCCACTTGCACCCGTTTCCCACCAAAAACAAAACGCTAGGAGCCGCAAAACCCTTTTGATATCTAAAATGAAGATAACTGCATATATCCTTTTTTACATACACACACACACAGACGCACACACACACACTCTAAAGGTAAAAGATATATGCAGTGTTATTTTCATTTTAGACGTCAAAAGGGTTTGTCTCTCTTCTCTCCCTCTCCAAGGCAAGCTGCCCTCCTCTCCATCCTGCATCCCCTCCCCCAAAGAGATTGGCTGGCAGTTTGTCAATCACCCCTCTTCCTCCTCATCCCCCCCAATTCTAACTTCAGCAGAGTTTGCATCAGAAGAAGAAGAAACGGGGCGCTTCCCCCCCACCCGCTGTTTCTCTTCCTCTTTTCCTTCTCCCCTCACTTCTTTGGCGCGCGTTTACTAGGAGACCACCCAGATTTGAGCATCTTGGATTCTGACTCTTCCTCCCACACTCCATACCCCCATGGATCCCTTCTTCCTCCCCCATTCCCTCCCCCCACCCCAACACCGGCACTGCCACCCCTTTTTCCATCCTTCCTGTGAGCGTGCGGGGACGTGCCTAGCTTGCGATGGGACCAGCATGGAAGGTGATGCTGCTGCCACGAAGCGGGTAGCAGTCCCGGCGCCCAGGCGCAGCAACCAGAACGGTGGCTAAGCGCCCCCCCCCACGCCCCTATTAAGCTCTCCCCTCTGGGCAGGCAGCAAGCTTGCAATCGTGCTCAGAGAGAGAGAGAGAGAGAGGCAGAGAGCAAGCCCGGCCTGGGACCTCCCCTCTTCCAGTCAGGATCCTGGTGAACAAGCTTATAAGGTCCATGCCCAGCAAGACATACTGGGACTCTGGAGAATGACTGGGGTCCCCTCCTCCGCCCTAGCACTTGGGGGCAGCTTCTCTGCGCCCCCCCATGCCCTGTCTGAGCCGGCCTGATCTGGACCCTGCGGGCGCTCAGTTGGGCAGCACTGGGGATGGCTGGCATAGCACAGGCAGTACCAGAGCTAGGTGGGACTCCACAAGAGTGTCCAGCTGGCCTCTCCCCCTCCCGATCTCCATGCCCACCTGGACTCCAGGCATTTGCACCGGGCCGGGAAGGTGCGTCTCTCTCGCCAGCCCTGCTCCGCCCCACGTCGTCATGGGAATGCCGGGTCGGCCAGCCTAAAAGATGGTCAGGGCCTCTGCTCTCGAGCTGGGAGGGTGGGCGAGTGGGCAGCTGGCGCTGAAGGGGTGGGGAGGGAGGCAGGAGGTAGCAGAAGGCGCTGAAAGGCGCCCAGGGCACTGCAGATCAGCCTGAGAGGTGGAGAAGGCGGGCGAGGGAGCCATCAGCCAACTTGCACTTAAGCTGAGGGCGAGTTCAGCGCTTGGTTCGGTGCCAAGAGAGCCAGGGAAACGCCGCCGCGTTTGGCTGAGCATGGCCCTGGCGCGAGTGAGGCAGATCTAGCGGCTGCGGTGAGAGGGTGCTATGAACAGCTACGGCTCCCCGTACCTGTACATGGGCAGCCCGTTGGCTCAACCGGCCCGGGCGCCCTTCCCCAAGTGCACGCGTTGCTGTAACCACGGCGTGCTCTCATGGCTGAAGGGCCACAAGAGTGGCCACGCGTCATGGCCGCCCAGATGGGGCTGCGTCACCAGTAGGCCAACGAGCCTAGAGAGCCTTTTGCCCAACACGCTGTGCATCCTGCCTGCCGCTGCTACCGCCCCCGTGCCCTCCTCTGCTACGCCGCCCGGGCACCCCAGAGCAGCGCTCACCAATGCCAATGCCGCCCAGGGACGGCCTGTCGTGGCACTAGCCCCCCCAGCAGCGCCATGGCTACATCCCATGAGCAGAGGGCGAGCCTGGGCAGCGTGGAGTCCCAGCTGGGGCGGAGGCCAGCGATGGCATCGTTCCCTGGGCCATCTACCTTCTGCGCCGCCGGCGTGTTCGGGCCGGAATCGCTCCAATGGCCTGCCGACCAGTCAGCTCTGTCCACCGGCGACACTGGAGCCTCCCATGCTAGCGGAGGGTTCGGTGGGACGCTCCCTGGGGGGGATCCCAAAGCTTCCCCACGCAGCTCCCTGGCCACGTACGCCTCGGACTGAGCCAGGAAAGGGATTTCCTGGCTGCCCTCCTCCAGGAGGCGAGGCATCCGGGCGCAGGGCCAATCAGCCCTGCGAGGGGGCAAGTCCCATGAGAGAGAGAAGGGAAGGGAAGTGCAAGTGACTCTCTGTCTCTCTCTGCAAATGGCGGAGCAGGCTCTGGAGCCGTAGGAGGTGGCTCAAAGAACCGCATGTGGCTCCGGAGCCGCAGGTTGCCGACCCATGCTCCAGACCAAATAGCCTCCTGGCTCAAGCTCCATGCTAGTCCATTTGTTCTTATGAAAGGACATATATTCAAACCTTGTTTTTAATTGGACCTAAAGTAATACAATAGAGAACCAGTTTGGTGTAGCAACTAAAACACCAGGATCATGAATTCTAGTTCACAGACCCAATCACACTGTTTCAGCCCTAGGGAGAACACAATGGCAATCCATATCTGAAATTGAAAAAAGTAGTACAATGGGCATTATGTATGTTTCCCTTAACAAACTTGATTTGTTAAGTATACTAGCTTGTACGAGAAATATGCAAGAACTGAAAGGAAAGTTCTTTCTTCCTAGGAGGAAGAAATTCTGCTAAGATTGCTTTATTTTTTATTTAAGTATACTGATCTATTGTTCCAGTATGGTGTCACTGAGACTTGCGGACTTTTAATGATGTGACTGATCACTTTTAAACAAAATTTGTATAGTAATTTAAAATATATAGGTACACCATTTCAATATTGAAATAAGAATATAATTTGTATCCATTTAGTATTTCCTTGTAAAATTGCCCTTTTGTGTTGTTTTGTGTTTCAGAGGATGGATCTTGGAGAATGTCTGAAGGTGCATGATTTGGCGTTAAGAGCAGATTATGAAATTGCATCAAAAGAGCAAGACTTTTTCTTTGAACTTGATGTATGTTCTATTATAAAGAATGGAAAGAGAATTGGTAGTGCTAACATCTGGTCAAATTGTGCATTATTGTAGAATATTTAATATAGAATTAATTTAGAATTTCTGACAGTTATTAGTAAAGTATGCAATTATTTGAAGCTGAAATGAGAAAGGTGTTTCATTTGAAATTAAAGTGATAAAGGGCTTCAGATTTGCACATGATCTTAGTACCTTGAAGAAGCCATGCATTTTCCTAGTGTGACATGGTAGTTATTACACTGTCCCACTTCTTCTAACTAGCTTAGGGAAAAAAAGTGGAGCACACGCTAAAGCCAGTAGATTGCACAATAAAAATTACAAACCTTTTCTATAATAAAAAGCTGTCCAGAGTCCCTTATCAGGGAGACGGGCATCATATAATTTTAGTAAAGATTTTACATGTACACACACATACACGCACACACAGAGAAGGGGAGTTGAAACATTGTTGAATACAGAGCCTTTGGATTTTTACAGTAGATTTTCTGCAGCCATCAAATTATAGCTAATTTCTTAGGATATTTGAATAACTTGAATCTTCAGAATGTGAAATCTTCATTCCCAGTTTTGTTTTATTTTAATTTCTGTTAACTTGCCAGTTCTAAATCTGTGATATATGCAACTCTCCTCAAAATGATTGTTCTCATCTGTTTGATGAACATTTGTGATGTGATTAATATCTTGAAAGTAAGAATTCATATAATAACTATGGTCTCAATTTTATTTGTTTTACAATCTTCCAGAAAAGTATTAAATATAATTAAACCAGCAATTTATACATTATTTAATATGTATAATTTAATTCTACTGAGCTTATTTACAGTACAGTATGATACTTTTCTGATTTATATTTTAGGCGATGGATCACCTGCAATCATTCATTGCTGACTGTGATAGGAAAACTGAAGTGTCAAAGAAAAGATTGGCTGAAACTCAAGAAGAGATCAGTGCTGAAGTTGCAGCCAAAGTAAGTACTTAATGTTCACTCACTACAGGGCTTTCCCTAAGGACTTCTAACTTGGTTTTATATATAGCATTATATTTATATAGAAGAATTTTGGACATCCCATTTTATATCAAATTAGTGGGTAACAAAAGACAGTATGCACAATATGCACAGATTTTTCATAGCTGAGCAAAGACTTGGTGGTTTTGATTTTTAGTTTTGTGTAAAACTGTATGTGTAGGCATACATATAGATGCCTACATGTACATATTTGTGCATTACAAGGGTTTTTGAATTGAATTAAAAATGGAATATATTGGTGTGTAGCAGTGAATGCAAAATTCCAAATTATTATTTTTTCTTGTCTATAAGAAGAGGCAGTTGAATATAGCTTCTTCTTGCCTGTCTGTAAGAATAAACACTGTAGTGCCTTGAAATTACAACTCTCAGTCCATTGCTACTGACTTGGTTGGCTGGGGCTGTTGAAGTTTGAACTTCTGAAGGACACTAATTACCCATCTGTCTTAGTGATATGAAGATGCTTTTGTCTAAAAAAAATAACATGAGCAGGAATGAAACAATTCCTATGCCATAGTTATATTTATTGAATATTAATTCATTTTCAGTATTGAACATTTTGAAATGTTGCTCCTTTTTCATATTCAAGTACTATAAGCAACATATATAAACATTTATATTTATTATTGTTCAAAATCTGCAGAGAGCATCCATAGCATAATAGACCAGAGTACCCTGGAAAAAGAAATGGGTAGCTGAACAGAAGCACTTCATCCTGCAGTGTCTTATTGCTTTATATTGATATGGCTTCTATATAGTGAACATTAGTAATATTAGTAAGTGTAAATATTGCTTTTCTCTCTGAAAGGCTGAACGAGTCCATGAATTAAATGAGGAAATAGGAAAACTGCTTGCTAAAGTTGAACAACTTGGAGCTGATGGAAATGTGGAAGAGTCTCAGAAAGTAATGGATGAAGTAGAGAAAGCAAGGGCAAAGAAAAGAGAAGCAGAGGTAATCTGATTATGTACAAAAGTATATTCTTTCAGTTAGTCCTGGAAGGACAATTTTTTATTCATGGAATTGATAACTAAAAGAATATTTAAACTATATTCTTTGTTCTCAAAATGTCAGTAAATACACATACACATACACACATCAACTGTTTATTTTATTTATTTGTGGCTCATCTCAAGTTTTTTATTAGGCACAATGAACTTGTGCTACTTCTTTCTCTTTATGAAGCCTAGCATCTAGAGAAAGGAATCCCTCTACATCAGAATATTCCCTTAATCTGATTCTGGTAAACTATCACTAATTATATCCCTGTGCAAAATTCCTTGGTATCAGAAGGATTAAAACATTCATAAAAAGATGGAACATACTCAGTGGTTTTCATTCACCATAAAATATTGTTTCAAAGGAGAGAGAGGAGAAAATAGTACAGATGAATAGCCTGCTATAATCCCTTCAATTTACAGTATATTTACTGTACTATCCTGAATAAGAACTTTTCTGTTTAGAAGAATTTTGCTTATTTACAGATATCAGTTATTACTCTTATAATAATTTTAATCAGGAAAACAAACACATAACACATTCAAAGAGCCAAATCAATCAGCTATTGTTGATTCTGTAATTAAGGATGTAGGTTGTTCATATCTTAAGAGACATATTTTGATGCATCTTCTAGGAAGTGTACCGGAATTCCATGCCTGCTTCCAGTTTCCAGCAGCAAAAGCTACGGGTTTGTGAAGTATGCTCAGCCTATCTTGGCCTACATGATAATGACCGGCGACTTGCTGATCATTTTGGAGGAAAATTGCACTTGGGTTTTATTGAAATAAGAGAAAAGCTTGAAGAACTAAGGGTAAGCTTATATTGCCCTTTTCCAGCAGTTGTTAATTATCAGACTACTTCAGTAATGTCCTGTTGAAATTAATATAATGCAGTTGGAAAAGAGGAGCTTCCTCAAAAACAAAACAGTATAAATAGTCCTTTACTGCCTTTCAAACAAGAAATGGACTTAAATTTGCATTTGTGACTAAGCTAGGGGTGTAGAAGTGTAGTTCCAAAAGTGATGACATATACTACATTCATAATGTTGATAACATGGCCTGTCAGTATTGCATCATCATTTGAGTATTCTCTTCAAAGAGGAGAGAGAGTTGGGTACTCAGACCAGATTGAAAGAACAGAAAAACAAACAACTGCAAGCTCTGGAACATTTTTAGAGCTGATAGTGACTGTTGGAGAGTGTTTGGCAATTGAATGAGGGTATATATGTTTTTTTTTCTGCCCAAGTGTTTGCCAACTTGCTAAGCATAGGGTCTGGGAGGATGGGCTTGCAGCTATACTTGTGTTACTGATAAAATGATTAACACTAGCTGGAGTCACATTTGTCAGCATTAAGAAAGATACTATATGTAGTAAAGATATGCAATGGTTTTACACTCTAAATACTATATTTGAGTGCAAAATGTCCTATTTCAAAATTTGAACATTTTGGATATACCTAAAGAGTGTGCCCTGAATTATATGTCTATGAGCCAAGAAGTGGAATTAAAGAGCTTGGATGTTGGATTAGAACCAGACCTTCAAGTCTACTCCCAATATTGAATCTCAAAGAGTTGTAGGGAAAAATGGGAAACCGGAGTACTATCTTGAGTTGCTAAAGGGAAGGTTCTGGGCAAATTATAATCCTTACAAAGATTGAAAGAGTAAATGTAAACAAATAACCAAAATACAAATTGTATTATCATAATCATATGCTCTCTTATCATTCAAATCAAACTTAGTAGCAGAGGATTGGAAGGGTATATCTGGTCCATCTATTGCTTCTGAGCACTTTAGAGTCCATAATATGAAACAAAATGGTGGATTAAGATGACCCTACTTTGATTTAGCAAAGCTATTAGTATATATTTATGAAAAGAATTATGTTGTTTTATAGCCTGACTTTGACATTACTAACAAGTACATCCAATTTCATTTATGGTCATTTATTTTCCTGCTACTTTTAGTTATTCTCTGTGATTACCCGTATTTTCGGGCATATAAGACTACTTTCTAAACTCTAAAGCATGCGAATCGGCTCTGAAGTCGGGGGTCGTCTTATACGCCAAGTCATCTTATATGCCGGAAATTACGGTAGATTTTAATTTTTGGTAGCTATGGACCAAAATTAATTTGATTTTTTCATTACGATTCCCTGAGTGTGAGTGCAGTTAACATGTATAAAAATGATGGTAAAGTAATTGGCAATAATATTGTGACAGTATACATATTCCGTATATTTTTTATATGATATATGTAACCTGCAGTGCTATCAGATTAGAATAATGCTGCCAATTGGTGAGAAAAAGGAACTTTGTCTCATAAATATATATTCTTAATGGTTTATATCAGAGTTCCCCAACCTTCCTGGCTTTGTGAACCAGCAGGGTGGAGAGGGGATGTTTCCACGTGAGCGGTGTGCCTCATTTGCACAAATGTAGCACATGTGCATGCTTGCCTGCCCTTGTGCAAGTGGAGATGCACCCCTGTGCTGGCTTGCCACTTCTGTGGCCAGTTCAGAATGGCTCAAGGCCCAATAATGGACCGGGGGTTGAGACACCTGGTTTATATAATATTTCAATATTTGAAATTTCTTATCTTTATTTTTATAATGATTTTAGAGAGTTGTGGCTGACAAGCAAGAGAAACGAAATCAGGAACGTTTAAAGCGGAGAGAAGAAAGGGAGAAAGAAGAAAGAGAGAAGTTAAGAAGGTGAAACTCTATTACTTATTGTCTAACAGTCTGTTCTTTGATTTTGCTTTTATAATTAAGATTCTTGCATAAGTAGACATTGATCCCATAGCTTCAAGTTGCTGCTAAAAATGAAACTGAAATTAAATATTAGTTTGTTGTTCCCCCAGAACTTTGCCTTTAGCATGCAAAATGTTTTCCTTTCATGAAGTAAAATATGCACATAGACTTTTGAATGTTTTCATTAGCGTGTGAATTGCTTTGTGAGGGGCAATTTCTAAATTGAATAAAAATATAAATAAATGTTAAATACACACATCAGTCTTAAAATAATGTTCATATTTATATTTACCAATATGTTTATTAAGATTTTATATCATCTATAGCAATATTAATGTGAGATAAACCATTTGATATATTATTCCCTTTAAAAGATTCCCTGGAATAAATTATTTGAATAGTTAAAGACATTTGAATAAGTAAAGCCCCAATTTGTTACAAATGTCCGGTTATGTTCTGTGAGACATCTTAATAGTGCAGGTGATAATTCCATTTGCAATTTCTATAAACTTATCTTTATTTTTTTTATGTTTAGATCTCGTTCTCACAGCAAGAACCCCAAAAGGTTGGATGTTCTTTTTTTCTCTGTGAATATAAACAGTTATATCTATCAAACATTAAGAAAGTACAAAAAATCACAATGGGTTTGCTTTAAAGAAAAAAAGGTTTTGTGATTTTTTTTTAATACTATGATAGTGATATACAGTAAATACTTGAGAAATAATTCTGTAAGCCTTAGAGCAGTGTATCTCAACCTTGACAATTTTAAGACATGTGGACTTCAACTCCTAGAATTCCACAGCCAGCAAGGCTAGCTGTGGAATTCTGGGAGTTGAAGTCCACATGTCTTAAAATTGTCAAGGTTGAGAAACACTGCCTTAGAGGGAGTGCCAGTTAATCTTCCTGAGCTAGAAGTGCCATATTATGGGTCCAGCCACTAAGAAAGTCATTTCTTGTCTCCTGGAAAATAGAGATTGACACCAGATTTCAGAGAGCCCATAAACAGATTTAGAAAAGAGTTCCCAAAGTGTCTGTGATCTAAACTATTCAAATCATTAAAGGTCATACACAGCATTATGAATTAAACCTAGAAGCAAACTACCGTGTTTCCCTGAAAGTAAGTCTTACTTTCTTTTAGGCTCTGAAATAAGCAGAAGTTTTTACTTTCAGGGAGGGCTTACTTTTTGCCGGAACTGGCACCAGTAGGCCGCAAGCGCGCGGGGGTGAGGCGGAGCCTGTGTGGCAGCAAGAGTGTGGTGGCAGACCAGGTACGGTACTGGTTTGGCTGTGGAGGACGGTGGTGGAAAGGGTGCCGAGCCTGGTGCTGGGCGAGTCGGCCCATATCTTCCGTGTGACCGCTGGAGCGTTCCCCCCCGCTGGCCTGCCAGGGCCCTTCACCAGTATCCGCTGGTGAAACCAGCTACTGCCGGCCCCGACCTCTCAGTCCCACCGCCTGCTTGCCTGCGGCCGCAACTAACCAAACCCTTGGCGAGCTCCGGCTTCTGCCCACCCTGCCTGCTGGTCTTACTGCTGCTAGGACATTTCTCAGCCGTGTCGGGTGCTGTGCAGCCGCCAAGTGGCTACCCGTGCTGCTGGCCTTGCGGGGCTCTTTGCCCTCCACCTGCATGACTACTCGGTGCTGCAGGCAATGGGCTAAATCTGAACCTGGCACTCTTCGGGCTCTAGCGGGTGCTTCCCTTAACATGCCAGACACCTGCCGAAGCCACGCAGGGTAAGGTTGCCACGCCCCCCCCAGATGCCGTCGCCTCTCCAAGCGTTTTTTACTAACCTGCCTTTCAGCTACATTGCGTTTCTCCTTTCGCTTCTCAGCCTTCACCGCGTGTTTGTGGGACAAAAAAACCTTAGAAAATCTGATTAAACTTTTCTTTTTTTTTTTTTGTCCCACAAACACGCAGCAAAGGCTGAGAAGCAAAAGGAGAAATGCAATGCAGCCGAAAGGCAGATTAGTAAAAAACGCTTGGGGAGGCGAGGGCATTGGGCAGGGGGCGTGGCAACCTTCCCTGCGTGGCTTTGGCAGGTGTCTGGCAGGTGGAGGAAAGCAACTCCACCCCCCTGGCCACCTGCTTTGCCTTCTTAGCTCATGGTGGCGGTGACAACCGCCGGCCAGGCAGAAGGCAATCTGGCAGGAGCAGCTGGTAGAGGCCAGAAGTGCCCAGCCGGTATGAGAGGTGAAGCGCCTGCCAGGACCCAAAGAGCTCCAGGTTCAGCCCTTAGCCTGGTGCCTGCAGTACCAAATAGGCATGCAGGCTGGCAGCATTCACCAGCCCAAAGGCAGAGGCATGGGTGGTGCAGTTTTTCTGGGCCAAATTGCCCTGCGCCAGGCAGGAATAGCCCAGCAGGGCAGCCCAGACCAGCACGGCTAGGAGGGCAAAGAGACCCGCGAGGCCAGCAGCATGGGCAGCCCTTGGCGGCCGCACGGTACCCAACGCGGCCAAGAAATGTCCCAGCAGCAGTGGGGCCAGCAGGCAGGGCGGGCGGAGGCCGGGGCTTGCAGAGCGTTTGGTTTGTTGCGGCTGCAGGCAAGCAGATGGTGGGACAGAGAAGGCAGGGCCAGTGGTAGCCGATTCCACCAGCTGCCACTGGCGAAGGGCCCTGGCAAGCTGGCAGCAGGGGTGGCGTTCTGGCAGCCACACAGAAGATCTAGGCCTACTTGCCCTGCCCCACGCTAGGGCTTACTTTCGGGGGAGACCTTATATTAGCCCTCCCCCCAAATCAGCTGGGACTTACTTTTTGAGTAGGGTTTACTTTAGGAGAAACACGGTAGTAACCAGTGCAGTATCACTAGCTAATGTACTAGTGCAGGGGTGTCAAACTCGATTTCATTGAGGGGTTTCCTACAGAGGGGAGTGGGACCAGGGTGGACACCGGGGCTTGATCCATCCTGGGAACCTCGCCAACCCTCTTGGGCCAAAAGGAGGGGGCACCCAGCCTGGCCCTTGAGCTCATGGGGCCCTTGCTGGAGGACAAGGTTGGACGGCGGGAGCCAAGTGTGCAGGGGCACGTTGTGGCGCCACACTGGACACTTGCCTCATCTTCCCGGATGGGCCCAGATTTGGCCCCCGGGACTGCCCGGGAGACAGTGAGGGGCCGGCCCAGCCGCACACCCCTGGTACATGCACAGAGGCGGCGAATGCATGGGAGCCAATGGTGTCTGGCTGCAGCCCGCTGGCTCCTTGGCCAGCACACTGAGGCTCCGCAGCCCGCTGCAACCACCAGGGGAGCCCTTTAAGTAGCAGGCATGGGGGAAGGCATGTCCCATCCCAGCCATAGTGGCTGCGCAAAGACAGAAAGTGGGACGGAGCAGGTGCATCCAGCAGGCCGGATTACATGCCTCCCACCCCCACCCCCCCATTCCTGGTGCTATCACTGCACCTGCTGCTTGCGAGGGTTGACCCATTGACTGCAGTGGGCTGCGGAGTCCTAGAGTGTGCCAGCTGAGGGTTTGGTGGGCTGCAGCTGCTGCCAGACACTATTGACCCCCATGCGTTTACTGGGGGGCGCCCAGCCAGGCTGGACCAGCAGGGGCTGGACCCTCACCATTTCCAGGGCGGTCCTGGAGGCCAAATCTGGGCCCATCCGGGCAAGGCAGGTGGCAGAGCGGAGGTGGCGTCTTTCTTTCAAGTGCTGCCTGGGCTAACAGTTGTAGAAGATCACTCAAGATTAGGTAGTTGCTGTTATTTAATTGGACTGATTACTGTTTTAAACCAGTGAAAGTATATCTAATATATTCTATTTTAATTTCTTGTGACTTATTTTAAGTTACAAATTCCTCAATGACGTGTCCACTTAATAGTAGGGTATACCTGCCATAGTCTTGCCAGTGGCAAGTAACGAGTACTGTTTTTATTTGTTTTTAATCGACCACCATTGATTAAAGACATTAAAGACCACCACTTCAAGACATTTTTTAAACTTCAGTATTAGATAACTTCTTATTTCATGTAAAATATTCCAGAAGCCTCCAAACTATTCAAAATCTTGTAAAAAGAGATTGCTCCAATAAGATATTTTCCTTGTAGGACTTGCCTAATAGAATTGTTAGGGATTAATTGAATTATTGAGGATTTCTTCTCTGTAATTTTTTTTCAGATCTAGATCCCGAGATCGCCGTAAACATCGATCTCGGTCATCCTCTCGTGAACGAAAGAAAAGAACCCGTTCCAGGTCTCGTGAAAAGCGACATCATAGGTCTCGTTCTACTAGTCGCAGCCGTAGTCACAGTCACCATAGGAGCAGGCATAGCTCCAGAGACGGAAGCAGAGAACGCAATTCCAAAAAAAGGTAATATTTTAATGAGCAGTTGGCATTTTGTTAGCTTCTGAACAGAAAAGATTGCACCTAGGGCCTAAGCCATCTACCTATCTTCAACAGTAGCTGGGGTTTTTTTTTTTCCATTTTGTTTATTATAAGTGCATTGGAACAGTGTACTTCAAAGGTTTTTTTTTAATTACAGTCAACTCAGGTGCAAATTTAGGGTAGCTTAACCAAACAAGGAAATCAACATGCTTGGAAGATTCACAAGGTTTTCAGAAGTGGGAAGAAATCTCAGGAGTCAAATTCACCCCCTTAACCCTCACTCTATAAGCATTCTGACTTGTCAATAAAAAAACTAGGTCAAATTGGAAAAATGTAGGAAACTGAACAGAAAACAGATAGTCATTGACTTAAGATCACTATTGGGACTGGTAATTTTTATTGTAAGTTGTGCAGTCATAAATTGAGTTGGATCTGATTTTACAACAATTTTTACAGCAGTTGTTAAACGAATCATATGGTCATTAAGCAAATCCAGCTTCCCTGATGGATTTTCTTTTGCTTGAAATTGACAAAAAAGGTAGCAAATCGCAATCACATGATCCAAAGAATGCAACCAATCATAAATGCAGATTGGCCAAGTGCTGAATTGTAATCACATGGCCAAAGGGGGGGTACAACAGCCATAAATGCGAGTACATTGTGTAAGTCCCTTTTTCCGAGGCCATTGTAACTTTGAACAGTTGTCAAACAGTCATAGGTTGAGAGATAGCTGTAGACTGAAATAAAAATCTGTAGATATTTTGTGGCAAATTCTTTTTTAAGAGTTTAATATAAAATTCTACATTTATCTACCTGGAAGGGAACACCAATAACATCAATAAATTCAAAAGCAATACCAAAAAGTGATTATGAGTGTAGTCTAAACCTCAATTTCCTAGCATGATTTTGGTTTGTAACGTTTTTAAATTTAATTTAGCAAATATTTTTAGTTTTATATTCTATTTTGGGACTTTTTGTTCAGTCTTGAATAATTTCAACTCATTTAAATGTGCTGTATCAATGTATATTCAGTATATCTTTAGTCTTCATTTACCTAATTAAAATAGGAAATAAAGTTAAATATCTGAAGTAGTAATTTTACAAACGAAGGTCTTCAAAACTATAGAAATAAATTGCAGTATTACAAGAATTGATAGAATTAAACTTGGTTATGTGATTGTGCTTATTGATTTCTGTTTACAAGCCAGACTCAGGTGAATTCATCAAGTCGTAGGCATTTTTTCAGCATTCATCTTCCTTGAAATTACATTTCAAAACCCATTTTTTCTTTTGATCTTTTGTCTGTTTATTCAGTTAGTCAAAGCTTCAGATGTGATCTCCAATGTTTAATTTTTATAAGCAGGTTACTTAAATGTTGAGTCTGTCGCACTGTGGATTTGCATCATTTGTAGTAGCTGAAGCATTCTGTACATTGGTGACACTTTAAGCAATAGCGTCCATACTTTTTATTACTCTAAGAAAATTACACTGGATAGCACTCATTTGACTTTCTCAACTTTTATATTCTTGAAAAATAAAATTAGTGATTTCAGTTTAATATTTATTCTAATTATCTTAGGCTCTGTGTTCTTTCCATTCCAGTTTTGGAAATGATACCCAGTGATAATTGTGCTGTTTTATGCTCTGGTAAGCTGAATGAACAGTTAAAATCAAATGAAAGTAATATACATTTTCAGATGCATTAACTTTTTCTTCAGATCATCAAAAGAAAGATCTTCTAGAGATCAAGAACGAACCAGAGATCGTAACAGAACATCATGTGACAAAGAAAGTTGCCCCAGAGAAAAGTCTCCAAGAGATCGAAACTGCAAAGAAAAGAAGCGATCTTATGAAAGTGCAAATGGTAGATCAGAAGACAGGAGAAGCTCAGAGGAGCGTGAAGCAGGAGAGATATAACTGGCTGTACATTCACTTGATGCTTTACCTTCCTATGAAGTTGCATACTGTGGTTTAGTTTACAGTTATTAAAAGGGACACCAGTGAGCAATTCCAATGTTTATCCATCTAGGATAGATGTACAGTGTATAAACATGGTTATAATGAAGTCTGAATGGATCAGTTTCCATTGATGATAACTCGATGATAAGTGAAGCAGTTTCCTTTTTTCTTCTCTTCCAGTAAACTTGTAAGACATATTTTCAAAGATCTATCTTCAAGATACCAGGTTTATGTACCAACATAATAGATTTAAATGTTTTATTCTCCAATACAGGTTATAGTGAACAAAACTATAGTGTGCTCTTTGCTTTGGATGCTTTCAAAACTTTATAAGCTCTTCTAATTTTATTCTTTCAAACAGCAGCACTGAATCATTTTTAAAGAGGTTGAGTGGGTTCCAGGCTTTTATTACCACCAGAAGATTGCGTTCTCAGTTCCTGCTTGAGAACTGAACATGTTTGGCAATGTTTAGGTTGGGGACATGTGCTGAAGAAAATGACAACTTTTAAATTTTATTTTTATTTAGACTTGGAAGTCAAACAGCTGTTGCATTTCACCTTTCAATTTTTTTTGAAACTTTGAAATCAAAGCCAGTCCCATATCTTTGTACAATTTAATTGGTCTATGTTCAATATATTTGTTTTTTCTTTCAAAATGATTTTTCTGGGGGTTTTTCTTATGGTGTGTTTACTGCACATCCTTAATTGTATACAGCAAACAATAATAAAGTAAGCAAAAATAATTTTTGTCCAGTGAAATAGCTGTGTGTTCCCACTCCCTCTTAACAACTGAAGTGCATGCTTCTAACATTGCTACGTTTTTCAATTAAATCTGGAAACCTATTCTCATATTTATTTGAAAGGCAATGTTTCATACATTTGTTCATGAGTGTACTACTAAGTCTAAAATACTTTATGTAACTCATATTTCTATGCATATGAAATACAACTTTCTTTGAGGAGGTAAGTTTTAACAACTGAATTGTGCACTGACATTCCAACAGACATTTTAGACAGAGTAGAGAAATTTATTGTCAGATATATCATTGCATAATATACTTCAACAACCCAAGTATGTGTAGATATATTACCTTCCATTAATTTGTCACAAAAAATTAATATCTAATTTGGAGCTGAAATTGCTTCAGATTCTTTTCTTTTTTTATAGTTTAATGGCTTTTGTAATGATGAACTTTTTCCTCAGTTAAGAGAAACTATATCAGTGAAACCTGTAAACTAACTTTGTTCTTTCCTTGCTGTCCTTAGATGATTAACTAATCCCAACAAGTTTTGTTTTTAAAATTCTTTGAAATGACAAGTACAAAATTCATTATTGTCAAATAATGCTTAGTTGATCAATCTTAATAGTTAACTAATATGTTAATCAGGGCTATTGTTGCATTTTAAATTTACAAAATGAAAGTATGCATACTTTTGGAATTTTTAAAATGTAGATATAAAGTTTTATTTTCAGTAACAGATACATACCCTTCCTCAGAATATAGTGCCTTGCACTTATTTCAAAATTACGCAATCCAGCATTGTCTAAATCAGTGTTTCCCAAACTTGATTTCAAAATTACGCAATCCAGCATTGTCTAAATCAGTGTTTCCCAAACTTGACAATTTTAAGGCATGAGGACTTCAACTCTCAGAATTCCACAGCCAGCAACGCTGGCTGTGGAATTCTGGGAGTTGAAGTCCACATGCCTTAAAATTGTCAAGTTTGGGAAACACTGGTCTAAATGTATATGTAAAAGTAAATAATAGATTGTCTCTAAAAAAATTATTTTACAAACTAATACATCCAATATATTATTGCTGTCGAAAATGAGCCTGCAAAATAGTTAACTTTTCACTAACAATATAATTGGGTAAAGGTATCATTTTGTAGAATTAATAGCAAAAGGTAGACAATTTTTTTATCATCTCTTTCCAAAAATACCATGTTTCCCCAAAAATAAGACTCTGTCATATATTTTTTGCCTCCAAAAGAGGCATTAGGTCTTATTTTGGGGGGATGTCTTTTCCACTGTCTCGGCTTATGGCGGCAGCAATAACAGGCCCATCCAGAAGGAGCCTGCATGGCCACTGCCGACCTACTTCTTCTGTGGCCGCTTTTCCTGAAGGCTTCTGCCGGCGAAATGGAAGCTGGAGTGCGTCATCCTGGAGCTCCATTCTAGGCTGCACTGGCCTTTCCTGAAGGCCTCTGCCAGTGAAATGGAGGCCGGGGCACAACGCACATGAGTGGGGGTAAGCAGCCGCAGAAGAAGTGGACCAGTGGCAGCCACGTGGGCTGTTGGTGCTGCCCCGCAAGGCAAGGCAGGTATCGAGGCATAGGAGACCTGGCTGTGGTAGTTTTGAGGTGAGCAGGTGCAGGGCGTGTGAGGCAGCTCCATCTCCCACCCCCGTCCTAGCTTTTTACTTGTGTGCCTCGCCCCACCTCATGGAACCAGATAGTGGGACGGAGTGGGCAGGTCCTTAACTAGGGCTTTTTTAAAGGGGTAGGGCTTATATTAGGTGCACATGTAAAAATCAAGCTAGGAGTTATTTTTGGGATATGACAGTGGTGGCGAACTTTTTAGAGACCGAGTGCCCAAAGTGCAACCCAAAACCCACTTAGATATCGCCAGGTGGGCATGGTTATGGTGGTCATGACAGACTGGGTGAATGTGGCCAGGGTTGGCATCACCAGCGTAATGTTGCTCTGGCGGGTGGGGCAGTAGGCAGGAGGGCGTCTTGCTCAGTGGGTAGGGGGCATGGGGGGAGGCTCCTGAGCCCCGCAGCTCTTTTGAGGGGGGAGGAGAGGGGAGGGTGTGTGCTGGAATTGGGGCTCCTCATGCCTTTCGCTGCCCACCTGCGCTCTTCTGTCAAAGATGCCATGGCGCCTCTTGCCTGGCAGGGCAGGGTCGCGTTCACAAATGGGGACGTACATAGGGCTGCTGCCTTGCTTTCCGTACCATGCTGGGACTGGGCTAGACTGGGCGTGGAGCCTCCTCGTGGCTTCTTCCCCTGTAGACATCGGGAGCGCCCACCTCACCTACCGCTCATCTCGGGGTGGCTGCTGCCATCCCAGGCTCTCCAGCCCGTTGCTGAGCATGCCGGGATGCCACCCTTTGGGCTCCCTCAGTCTCTCCCCCCCTCCAGGCTGCTCCTCTCCTCCCCCCTCGAAAGAGCTGCGGGGCTCAGGAGCTTCCCCCCATGCTCCCCACCCACTGAGCAAGACGCCCTCCTGCCTACTGCCCCACCCGCCAGAGCAACATTACGCTGGTGACACCCACCCTGGCCACACTCACCCAGTCTGTCATGACCACCATAGCCATGCCCGCCCGGCAATATATAAGTGGGTTTTGGGTTGCACTTTGGGCACTCGGTCTCTAAAAAGTTTGCCACCACTGTCATATCCCAAAAATAAGTCCTAGCTTGATTTTTACATGTGTACCTAATATAAGCCCTACCCCTTTAAAAAAGCCCTAGTTAAGGCCTTTGACTCCGTCCCACCATCTGGTTGCACGAGGTGAGGCGAGGCACACAAGTAAAAAGCTAGGACGGGGGTGGGAGATGGAGCTGCCCCGCACGTCCTGCACCTGCTTACCTCAAAACTACCACAGCCAGGTCTCCCAGAACGGTGGCGGTTTTCTATGGCCCTGGGCAGCGCCTCTGCCCTGCGCGGCTATCCCATCGCACCTGCGATTGACCTCCGCACTGGCACCCGCAATCTGCCCGGCAACCCCTCCAGCCCTGGGCAGTGCCTCTACCCTGCGCGGCCGTCCCTCTTGTGCCTGCAATTGGCCTCCCGCCAGTGGCGCCTGCAATCTGCCTGACCTCCACCTGCTTTGCGCAGCTCCTTGGCCCCCCACGGCTGCCGTTAACCCTCCCGCTACTATGCAGGGTAAGGTTGCCGCCCCTGTCCAGATGCCGTCGCCTCCCCCAAGCGTTTCAGCTGTATTCCGTTTCTCAGTTTCTCAGCCTTTGCCACTTGTTTGTGGGACTATCGGTTAAAAAAAAAAGTTCCATGAGACTTTCTAACTTCTTGTGAGATCTCACGAGAAGTTAAAAAGTCTCATGGAACTTTTTTTTTTGTCCCACAAACACATGGTGAAGGCTGAGAAGCGAATGGAGAAACGGAATGCAGCTGAAAGGCAGGTTAATTAAAAAACCACTTTGGGGAGGTGAGGGCATCTGGGTGGGGGCAGGGGTGGCAATCTTACCCTGCACGGCTTCGGCAGGTGTCTGGCGGGGAGGGAAGCAACAGGCCTCGCCCCACCCCTCACATGGAATGCCCTGCTTCCGCCGCTCCTCCCATCCTCCCACGGTACCTTTTTTCCAGCTCTGACACGTCACTTCCTCCGAGGCTGTGTGGGACCAAAACTAAAGTTCAATCAAGAAATTCCACCTTTGCGAGATTTTTTTTTCCCTTGAGAAGTTGAAATTGATTGATCGAACTTTTTTTTTTTTTTTTGCACATGGGGCAACAGCGTGCGAGCCCACAGAGAGGGCTCTGCGTGCCAGGGGTTCACGACCATGGGGATAGGGCTTATTTTTCTGGGAAACAGTAATTTTGATCTTGGTGATGGTAGTTCAGCTTGCTTCTTAACTCATGACTGGCATTTTTTTAAGTTTTATTTATTCAAAAGCTCTTTAAGAAATTTGTGTAGAGTATTTAACAACTCTAAAACAAATTCCTTAAACTGAGATTGCTACTTGGTTCAATTAATAATTGAGTGCTCCTTTTTGTTTAAATCTTTGTTTTCTGAATTTAGTAGGTAGCAAATGATATCAGGGTTTTGTTTGGATAAGTTGTGTTTTAGATGTAAGCTAAATTTGACCATATACAAGATACATACTAATGAATTAGTTTTCTGTGTATTAGGAACACATTATTTGCATATTACATATACATAATTTCATATGTCAGGTTTGAAAAACTCTTCTGGAAATATACTGACACTATTCCAGAATAGCTTTTGATAACCTTGTATTGCACATTCTTATAATCTTTGAAAGTTTAAAAAGAGAACATTCATACAATACCTGTTTCTAAATATTCTATCATTCAGTTTCCTTGAATGATCATGGGCTCTACTATTAAAAAGATGAGAAAAATCTATTCATTTTCACAATAATTTGCCTTCAGGATATGCTTCATGTTACTTTAGAGAGGGAAATGTAAAAGGGAAATTAAAATAACCTATTTTGGAGTGTTTCAATAATCACTGCTTGAATTAGCTGCGTGTCAAAAGTATTTTTCATATAGTCAAACAATTCCTGACTTCAGTCGATTTTGAAATTATGTACCTTGTAGCTTTTTTATGGAATGGCTGGAAGTTTGGAAAGCTTGAAAGGACTGCATAAATACAGAAAGACTTAAAATAACAATCCAATAGTATTTTTTTTTACTCAAAATCTGATAAAATACTTTAGAATGGCTTCTAAATAATAGTAATGTTGATGCTCTTTAATCTCACCTTATATTTATCCCTCACCAGGTGTTAGGATGAGATTTTTAACTTTCCTTAGACAACGTTTCATTGCATTTTTTTCATGTCAGCCAACATTCTATAAATGTTTCCAACATCCTTGCCTTTTTAATTCTGAGGAATTATATGATTCTGAGTTTATATATTGGACAAAAACTACCAACTGCTTTTTCCAATTGCAGAAAATGATCTAAATATTTATCTTTGTTTATTTGAATCTTTAAACCATAGTTTCACTGAATTCATTTTTTTAAGTTAAATTTCAAAGAGCGTGTTCTTTTTTTGATCAATGTCCTTTCATTTTCCAAATCTCTCACCTCCCCTTTCTATTTCTCAGTGGTTGTGCTTTGTTTGATTGAACTGCTGGTTTGCTTTAACACTCATAAAAGGTGAAGTATGAGTTGTAGCATATATAGTAAGATTATCCTAAAATGTGGAAAAAACTAATTGTTTTACTTCTTATGAGCAAAGAAAAGCCTTGCCAGGAAGGGGGACGGGTTATAGTAGCTACAGTTATAGTAGCAAAAGTGACATAATTCTAACACTTGAGGCTTGATGACTTAAAAGCTTTCCTCCGTGCTGTTTTAGGTACCAATGCCAGCAAGAAAGTGGAAAGTATAAATACTTTTCCTGGTTATTTGCTTATATATAGAGGGAACCAAATAATATTTTGCCATGAGCAGCACTTGAGACCTCTTTTACTTGGTTTTACCCTTTTTCCTCCCTTTCAAATTAATTATGAAGATTTATTAACTATTCAACCCCATGGAGCCTTGTTAAATAGAATGAGCAAACTATTGATGTGAACTGAATTTTGTTAAAATATGGCATATGTTAAGCAGTGAAATATTAGGAGTCATCGCTTGTTGAGTAAGATTATACAGTTAAGTAAACATACATACACAAAGTGCCAATCAACAAGAGAACCAATTAGGTGCTTGGAATTCAAATATAGCTCCAAACAACTGACCACACAAGACATTTATGAACTAAAGAGAATGGGACAAAATCCTGCTGCTGG